ATATATATATATATATATATATATATATATATATATATATATATATATATATATATATATATATAAGTTCCTTTCTTCTGCAAGAGGAGAGGATTCTGTGTGCGAAGAGCGTCGTAAAGGTTGAGCCTCCTGCAGAAGGATTCCTGTTGAAGACTTGGGGCTTTAGTAAAGGCAACTCAGCTTTCAAAGTTGGGTGAAAGATGCGGACGACTTCTCAATCCATGTCAAGCTACTTCATCTCAGGCCAACCTTTTAATTCAACCTCAGAACACGTACAACCCAAAAGCATGCATTCCCCTTTGTGTTAGCTTTCCATCCCTGCCATGCTGGTTCTTGCTACATCACCGATACCAAGCTTTCCTTGCTTCACATGAGAAGGAATCCAGTGACCAGAAAAAGTGAAGCCAGAGTGAGCTACAAGAATGACAGCATCTGCAACAGCTAAGATCAAGCATGTCGATGGTGTACGCCGTCGATGTTATTCTCTTGCTTTTGCAGCTATTATATTACCAACCCTCCATCCCTTGCTTGGAAACACCACACATCACCTCTTCTTCTTCTTCTTCGATCTCATCGCTGGTCTCGAAAGGAAAAAATGGCGAGAATGAGAGGGATTCTTATCTGCATCCTGATAGTGATCATGGACATTGTTGCTGGTATTCTTGGGATAGAAGCTCAGGTTGCCCAAAACAAGGTGAGTCGAATGAATATGATTTGTCTTCTGTCTGCCGCATAGTGAACAAACAAGGTTAATGCGAGAGTTTGTGAGCTTCAACAGGGCAAGCATTTGAGGGTGTTGATCTTCGAGTGCAAAGAGCCCGTCCATGAAGCCTACAGGTTGGGACTGGCTGCAGCCATACTACTGTTGCTGGCTCACGCAGTCACAAACCTGTTCGGTGGGTGCGTTTGCATCTGCACCACCGAGGAATTTAGTCGATCATCGGCAAACAAGCAAATGGCTGCAGCTACACTTGTGCTCTCATGGTAATCACCTCGAACAAAACAAGAACGCTAGTAATATAAATTCTACTGATAATAGATTCCGAAACCTGCTTTAATCCGTGGACAGGATAATTCTGGCGGTGGGATTCATCATGTTGCTCACCGGCGCGTTGGGCAATGCCAAGTCGAAAACCTCCTGCGGGCTTCCTCACCGTCACTTGTTGTCCATCGGTGGGATCCTGTGCTTCATCCACGCAGTGTTCAGCGTCGCTTACTACGCCGCCGCGACCGCCACATCAGCGGAAGCGGAAGGGAGGACGACGACCAGGGATGTCGGCGCTGCCCCAACGGCGCGAAGGCCCCAACAAATGCAAGCCTGATAAGCTTTCTTCGGCATCGATGTTGATGTACGGTTCGATGCGTGCTTCACTCTCGTGCTTTGGAGACCGACGGATTCTACCCATTCGAAGTTGCAATTTGGCACTTAATATTCTTCTTCTTCCTCTTCTTCTGGTTGCGTCGTCCGTATATGCATTCAATCGCGTTTCCAATGAGCTTAATAAGTCATTGGCAAACTCTCCGTGACAGATACTTAAAGCTTGTTGATTAGTATGACAAAAGAAGGACTAGCGATCGTCCTACATTATCCAGTGGAATAGAATGTGATTTCGTAGGATAAGACAGAGGAAACGCGACGAGCGAAAGAAGACACAAAAATCCACGACGGACACAGCAAGCTTTAGAAATCGAGTCCGCCAAGTCGAACTCGAACTCTTCAGCAGTTTCGCTTTCTATCCACGACGCGCGCACTGCGAGTCCGGAAAGCGAAACGGAGAAGACGACCACGAGCAAGAAGCCGTGCGTTCCGAATGACGTCGCGCGCACTGCGAGTCCGGAAAGCGAAACGATAAAGACGACATGGAGGAAGAAGCCATGCGTAGTACTAAATGACATGGGCGCGCGCGTAAGGGCTCAGCGTCGCTTCAGCGTGCCGCCTCCGCTCGCGGCGCGGCAGGTGTGACCTTGGAGTGTTGTATTGGTTTACGTGGCGACACGTGGTTCCTGTTCTTCCACGTTGTTTCTGCTCGCTGCTCGGTGTGACGTGGCTCCACTGCTTCCGTGTTGCTTCCGCCCACTGGTCGTTGTTGACCGAGGATATGCTGTTATAAGATTCCCGGTGACGTGAGCCTCTTCGCAGCTTATTCGATGCATCTCATGGGCACACATCGAGATCTAATATTAAATTCAAAATATTAATAGAAAACAAGTATATTTACACACACACATAAAAATATAGTCAAACCTACTAGTAGTGTTTATCCGATACGATTACAAGTTGGGAAATATTCATTCATTATTTTTATGCACGTTTACGACCAATAAATATGTAGTGAAAAGAATCAATTAAATCGAGCATCATTTATTTGGAGTTAGTTCCATGTTGAGTTTGTTGGAGTGGGGTTATGTGGTGGGTGATTCGGTTTGAAATCCACAGAACCGGAACATTTTAATGTAAACCATACACCTGGCGAACACGGCACCGCCAGCTTCGCCCATTTAAACTCCAACACTTGGTGGACGGATGGACATCGCAACTCCAGGGGAGGATCCCGATACCGTATCCTGCGGAAGCGATACCTAACCCGAGCGACATGGGCTCCATGGAAGGCGGCGGCGCCGCCACCACCACCGATCTCCGCTCTCCCCTCCTCCCCACCTCCCCCGTCGAGGAGAGGGTGGGGATCGACGAGATGCTCCGGCGTTACGCGGGGGAGTTCGGCCGGTGGCAGCTACGGCACTTCGTGCTGGCGTCCGCCGCCTGGGCGCTCGAGGCCTTCCACACCATGGTCATGATCTTCGCCGATCGAGAGCCCGGCCGAGAGGCGGCGGCGGCGTCGGCGGACCCCTGCCGACCGGACTGGCCCGTCGGCGCGGCCGCCTCGACCGTCGCCGAGTGGGGCCTCGTCTGCGGCCAGCGCTACAAGGTCGGCCTCGCCCAATCCATCTTTTTCCTCGGCTGCATGATCGGTGAGCCCTCCTCTCCCTACCGTTTCAAATCTTGAGGTGATCTTTACCACTGACGGTGCCCCGAAACGTTCGGCGGGGTGGGGTGTCCGAACATACGATTCGATAGGCCCACACCATTATTACCTTTTTATCCTTGAAAGAATGGGCTTTCATTCCATGGATGATTTGTCTCGTAATATTTGGATCTTATATCGTTACGGCATACCAACAATTGTGGTTGAGTTACGATTTTGACGATAATTTAGTTTTAGATTATTTCAATCTAATGAAAATAAAAAAGAATAAAAACAAAAAATTCAATTTTCTTTATTGACTACAGGTTTATTGGTTTTGTATGAATGATTGCTATGAGACAAAAAGGATTTAATGTGGGAGGGCGATGGGATGAATATATTTAATCGGATCAAACATGAGACTTTGACGTATCAAACATGAGACAAAAAGGATTTAATGTGGGAGGGCGATGAGACTTAACGTGCCGAAGTGACCGGTAGGCTTATGTTTCTTTCCGGTCGATTCACTGTCTTTTCACCGTTGGTTTCAGGATCCGGCGTCTTCGGCCACCTGTCCGATTCCTTCATGGGAAGGAAAGGATCGCTGACCATCGTCTGCGTCCTCAACGCAATCTTCGGCCTCCTCACCTCCTTGTCGCCCACCTACTGGGTCTACGTCGCTCTCCGCTTCCTCACCGGATTCAGCACCGGCGGCGTCGGCTTGTGCGCTTTTGTCCTCGCCACGGAACCCGTCGGCCCGACCAAGCGCGGCGCCGCCGGTATGTCCACCTTCTACTTCTTCTCCGTTGGCATCGCCATCCTTGCCGGCATTGCCTACCTCTTCCCGTCCTGGCGCGCGCTTTACGTCGTCACGTCCCTCCCCTCGCTGTTCTTCGTTCTCGCCGTCCTCCCCTTCGTCTCGGAGTCCCCCCGCTGGTACCTCGTCCGTCGCAGGATCGCAGACGCCATGGCCGTCATGCAGACCATCGCCGAGAAGAACGGGAAGACGATACCGCCGGGAGTCGTGATCAAGCTCGACGATGAAGACGAAGGCGATGATGGACGGGACGAAAAAGAAGCCGCCGCCGACGTCAAGAAAGTGGACGCTCACGGTGTCGAGAAAGCCGTCGTATCGGGCTCCATCGTCGACGTCCTCCGCTCGCCCACAACGAGACTTCGCCTCTTCCTGACGGTGCTGATCAACTTCCTGTGCTCCGTAGTGTACTACGGCCTGAGCCTCAACGTCGTCAACCTCGATACTAACATCTACCTCAGCGTCGTCCTCAACTCTGTCGCCGAGATGCCGGCCTACATCCTCACCGCACTTCTCCTGGACCTCTTCGGCCGGAAGCCAATGGCAGTGAGCACGATGTGGATCAGCGGGGCGTTCTGCGCTTTCGGGAGCTTGGTGAGCGGCGCGGGGGCGATGAAGATCGTGAGGATGGTCTGCGGGGTCATCGGCATCTTCGGGATGGCGGCGACGTACAACCTGCTGTTTATATACACGGCGGAGCTGTTTCCGACGGTGGTGCGGAACGCAGCGCTGGGATGCGCGACGCAGGCAGCGCAGATGGGGGCGATCCTGGCGCCGTTGGTGGTGGTTCTGGGGGGCAAGGTGCCGTTCGCTGTGTTCGGGGCCTGCGGGATCATCGGCGGGTGGCTCGTCTTCTTGCTGCCGGAGACGATGAATCGGCCCTTGTACGACACGATGGCCGGGCTGGAGGAGGGCGAGCGCAGGGGGCACAAGTGAAAAAGCTTCCGTTTCCCTTTTTCTTTTGGTTTCGTATCCTTTCTTCGTAGGTTTTCATTCTAAAGAGGCTAAGACATATAGTAGTAGTAGTAATCTTCGAAAATAAGTTACAAGATTGCGTGGGCCATAGTTGAGTTTGTAGACAACATTTTTGGGATGGCATTAATAATTGCGGCGTAGGTCTAATTATAGATTAGATCCTTCAGTTAATTATGATTAGTATCCCGATCTTGTGGTATTAGGTAGGATCCTCATATAAATTGATGAGGGTAATAATTACGATAAGACTTGCATGACACCCGCTGACGTCCCGCTCCCCTGTTAGTCCGACACCGCGTGACTGACACGGGTCAAAACGTCAACCGAGGCCCATTAACGATCGCTCAGGTTCGATTCCACACGTTACGTCGATAGCAATGTCAGACGCCATCAGAAGGTACGGTCTTACCCCTTGCGGGCAGGCGCATCAGGTAACACCGAACCCTCCTTATAAATACCTTTGCATTCTGAACAAAAAGAAAAAGAAGAAACAGAGAAAACAACCCCACTATGATTGCTGACTGACTTGATCGTCGGAGGGGTCGGGTCGAGTTCTCCCGTCCCGACCTGTGTGTAGGAACGAAGGCGAGGCGCTTCTCTCCGAGCGTATTGGCAAGGAACCCCCTCGCGAAGGAACCGGCAACCCGTCATCCGGACCAAGCCGCGTCGGCCCCGAGGTCACGGCTAAAAAGTTGTTTACACTAACATAAATCTTCCTTAAGTAGGCCTAGAATCTCATGACCATCCAACCGTTGGTCGAAACTCCGATGGTGTTCCTCTCCATTGGATCCACCAGGTTAAACTTGGCGGGTTCATTCATCGGATCGTAGTGGTCGAACCCTTGCCCGACGACGACGAAGTTGTAGCCATGGAGGTGAGCTCGTGTCCTGCATCACCAACTCGACGCCGGTGTTGAACGGAAGCACCACCAGCTTGGTCCCCTTGCTCACCTTCGTGTTGTTCGGCGGAGCTCCGATGTAGTTGAATGGCATCAGGGTGACGAGAGGGGAGTCCGGGGTGTAAACGTCGTTGGACCTCCCACTGAAGTGTGCCCGGAGGAGAGCCGTCGTGGGTGACACGAACGAGATGTTGTTGACGGCGGCCGCGAACTTGGTGCTGTTGGGCCTTTGGCACGTCTGGTTCTTCTGGCAGTCTCATCCCGAGCCCAACCGTGAAGAAGCGTCGGCCACGGTTTGCAGCACAGCACGTTCGCCAGACCACGTAACTTGCCGGTGCTATTGGATGAGACAGATCAAATTTAGTAGATGTGTAGATTGTGCCTGACGCACATACTTTTAACAATGAATAATTTTATAATATATAAAAAGAATGCAAATAAAACAAAGCAATATATATATATATATATATATATATATATATATATATATATATATATATATGTTGGCGTCCTTTTTTATTTATTCTCATAGAGTATTCGTTATTTTCTAAAAAATAAGATTACCCTTAACTTTCACCCCGTCAGTCACCGCACGATGGTCGCTTTCATTTTTCATTGTCGTCTACCACGTTTATAGAGGCCTTTCATCGTCCTTACAAGCCTTGCAAGGTCCCTTGTTACCATCGCATCATTTGTAGAGGCTCTATTGTCATTCTTGTTGCCTCATCATCATCCCTACAAGCCTTGTGAGGCCTCTCGTCATCGTCTTTGCTATGCTTTTGCCATTTGCTCTCTCCTCTCCACTGCATTCACTTCCACCCCTCACTACTACTTCCATCATGCAAGAAACCCTTCCTTGCATGAGCC